TCTTTAGGTCCACCATTTGTGAAAGATGGCTCTATTGTTATAAAGTATCAACTTATAAATAATCATTCCCCATTATCCAGCATTTATCAGTACCTGAGAAGATGTCGTGGAAGGTATGGTGGAGCAGATGATATTATGGAGCGGTGATTTATAAAAGTTTCTCTTACACATTGTATCATGGTATTTAAATTGTAAAAGAATAAAAAAAAATGAATGTTCGGAAATGTTTTTAAATGTCCACATGTTAATTGAGTCTTATATTGTTGACACCTCTATCTGTTAAGCCCCATTCATACCTGGTCCTGGTGGTGCTATGGACTGGGTTCAACCGCTTGTATCAGTTCCAAGACCGTACAATCCCGGGGCCAACCATAGGTTTTAAAAAAGTTTAAAATCACTGGGGCGAACTGTGGAAAACAATGACAAAAGAGCTATTTGTCGTGCCACTCTAACATCACCGGGAAAAGACCATATCACTGCTGTAAGGTAACGCAGGTCTGCCGTGCTAGGTTAATTCACGGCAATATTGCGGTGTCACTAGGTTCATTGGAGAATCTGGTACGGTTTACCATGAAAGTTCCACTACGGAGATCAACGGTTGCTAAAGGTTTGCCATGGTTGAACTACGGTTTGTCACGGCCACCAATCCCATCGCCAGACTGAAGGACTGAGCATAGAAGCTGGGGCCCAGGTCATCATGTAGCCACTCCAACTTTTCCAAGCGGCACAGACTGATGTGGGTTCCTTCTGTAGCATCTAGCATGTGAGTCCTAAGTTGGAGGAGTTGGAGTTGGGCCACGAGGTGAGTGATGACATTCTCCATTATCTACAGAGCGAGGGGGCGCTCATGGATTGGCCGATTGCAAGGGCCCAGTCTTCCTGGAGGCTGCAATCTGCTGTAGAGACAAACGTCTAGTCGTTGCAGTTGTCAGTGGCGAACTAATCGTGTCAAAAAATCTGCCCATATATACCCCACTGCCGCCCACCACGTTACAACCCGTGGCACCGAAAATATCGTAGGGCCAAACTGTAGTCAACGCTTGACAAACTGTCATCAAATATTCAGTATTGCAACTCAAGTGTTGGCGTGTTCGTATGCTACTATATTTGTTCGCCCTCATTTAATGTGAAGTCAGGACAGGGGCAACTCATATTCCCGGAGCAATGGCCCGAGAAATCCCTCTCTGGCCATTGCTGGATTGGTTTCTGGTACTTGGGTTTTTAAGGGAGTGTGTCTATTCTTCCCGTCCAATCTGAGGTCTTCCCTAAAGCTTTGGACAGTGATTTAAAGTATTAAAAACGGTTAAAGCATCGTTCGTCTCCAAACAGTATTGTTTACATTGTATCCGTTTTGATAGTCTCGTTTGTCACGCAATTAGTTTTTCATCAATATTCTGTACGCACTGGTTAACTGGGCGTAATAAAATCGTGAGTCATGTCGTAACGTTATGTAAACATATTTGGTCCAATTTGGAGCTCTGTTTAAAGCGTAATGATATAGTTATGCAGTTAGCTATTGGTTGTTAATTGGACTATTGACCAGTCATAGTTTGGAACAGGAATTTGCTTCCATTACAGCAGTGTTAAGTGAGATTAGGTCTAATCAAACGAAACACTGCGAGGAGTATGGGGCAACTTAACTTGGTGATGACACGAACCAAGCCTTCTGACATTATTTAAATTCTTTCCCATCTCCATTGAACTCGGGCGTTGAAGAATATTTTATTTATGAAACGTATCAAATTATATTTTTTTACTCGTTCACGAATATTGTGAGCCAATCCATTTGTCCTGGGTTCAAGGTAGAGGCCTTAGTGATTGCTTTTCAATTTGTAGACATGGATTATTTGGCTATTCGACTCTATCCTATTTAGAAACATTCCCACTTTTACGTTCAGATACCTAAACACAGTAGAACATAGTTTTTGACTTTTTAAAAACTTTAAAGAAACCTTTGTTACAAAATCTTGTCAGCCGAAGGGAAGATGACAAGACAATAAGCTTCAACCATTGATTTGTATAAACTATTCATAGAATACCAATAACTGAGATCAATGACGATACATGTACCTAGTATTATACCCTTTATTATAAAATAGTACTAAACAGTGTTTTATTTGCATTTGTAAGCAATCAATTATTAATATCCTTAAGAGTAGGTTCTGTATTATAGCCTAAACGTGTTGGTCAACATTTTTTACAGACTATTTTAAAATAAATCGAATCGGTGATCACGAATCGCCCAAATGAAATATTGAATATGGATGCTTTAAGTACTGCTCTCTTTATCCCGAGCAATATATGAAAGGGTTATTTGACTTCGGGATAAAAACAGTTCAAAGGGACTTATATTCCATAGACGTCTTTTTGTCCCAGAACAACATTTTAGATCAGCAGAAACTAACGAAGTTCCTATTTTTTCAAGGAAAATGTTGCTTTTGCTTGGATTTATCTTTACTGCGTTTGTTCATTGGTCGAGTGGCCAAGTTGTTTCATCGTATTTTGATCAATCGCCATTTTGTAACCGTACTTCGTCGAATGTTGTAAATGAAGCTTTTTGGACAAATCAAGTTGCGAGTCTGATGTCTTGTTTTGATGAGTGTAATCGCCGAGCATCGTGTAAAACCGCTGCTTTTGACAAAACCACCAACAGCTGCCGGCTCTATCAAATTTCTCCGGATGAATACGACTATACTTCAGTTGTGACGCTCCCTTCAGATGTTCGTCATATGAGAAAGGTAAGCTAATTGTTAATTTATATATGGTAACCTGTTAATAGAGGGCTGCCATCTGAAATGCGCCCTGGACTTTAAAAAACTGTTCATTACAGTCTTGCCAAGTTTGTTGCTTGGGGATCACTACTGTACTTTTAGTAACCGAGGAGTTCATTCGTCGCAGTATTGGGGTGTCCATTTAAGATTTCTGACAGTAGTTGGATATATGTTGTCATAACTAGTCGTATAAAGATGATTTGGCTATAAATATTTAGGCTCTAGCATAGCGGATAATCTGTCCATGTAGTTATATATATTAGTCGAGTTTGTGTTTGTACACTAAAACAATTCTAGCACAAATTAAAACCTTATTCTTTTAATCTGTATTTCCACAGCTATCTTCACCACCTCCGTGTCAAAATGGTGGTTCTAGAATTAACTCAAATTGTGTTTGTTTTGGAGGGTATATAGGATCTGACTGTGAGAAACTAATGATGGGTGAGTAAAAATATATTGTTCATTATTTACGGCCAAATGAAAGCTCTTTTTTTCCAAACAGTGTCAGCTGGATCAATAACAGCTCTAATTTTCAAAGTATGTCAGATTAAAAGATTAAGAAATACATGGGTACCTCTGAATGTGATTTTTTGAGAAAAAAAAATATTTTCTATTTTATTTTTCCTATTTTTCAAAAAATTTGATTTTCTTTTTCTTCTTCCTATTAAATTTGTTGCTAAATCATGTAATATTTACTACAAATCGTTGATGTTTGAGTCTTTATTTAGAAAGAACAAAAAGGAAAACTAAAATTTTGTAGAAAACCCAGGAAGACTAAACCAGAAAATCAAAACAAAATTGAAAAAAATCACACAGGGTCACCCCTGGATTAAAACTGTGTAGCTTAAAGGCTCACTCTTGTTGTAACTGAATAATATGTCCCAATCTTTATTCTGGTCAACAAATTGTACTATTTTACAATATTCCAATTAATTGATGATACAAATTTCATCTTAACACATCTAATTTTAAAAATTGGAAAAATTCAACTAAATGATTTGAAAAGCCTGACGTAAAGCTTTTCAAATGTGACTTGGATTTAAATATATTTTTAAACCCTCTGGATAAGTAAAATAGGATTTAATGGATAATTTACACAACAGGTAGGACACTAACACATCTAGTACTTACAATAAGGCTATTTTTTTATTTTCTGGAGCTGTCAAGGCAGCAAGAGTGTTATTGTCCCTTTAAAATGGACGGGCGTAGACGCACAAAGAAGAAATAGAAATTAATATACTGTAAATCGAAAATGACCGTGACTTACGTTATAGGATTGAACCATTTGGGTAATTTATGAAACATGATGGTTGGATTAGGTTTGTTTTGGTAGTTTTAATTCTAGATTTGCCCTTTATTCTAGAATGTTATCTCGTTAATGTGTCCTAATGCGACCAGTCATAATGGAGAGCTCATTTGGATTTTCTATTTCTGACTCAAATTTCCCGATAAGCCCACCATAAATTAAACGAATTAATTATTACAGAGCGTCAACCACCATAATTATTTTAATGTGTGCGTTAATTTAGGTAACACCATCGATTGTCCATTTCACGTATGAAGGTATCTATATATTTTGGATCACGACTGCCGGCGGAATTTATCATTAATAAGATATTGGTTCGGGATTAAACTGTTGTTCAGTTTATTATATTATAAATGAAATGGGGTTTAATGTCCTGCTTTTCTGCACGGTCTGGAATGATGAGGACGGGTATATGCCATATAGTGTGCCATGAGGGAAATTTTGCCCGGACAGTGACACTACGGCCTACTCTTATTTCCAATTCAAACTATCACTAAGAGAAGGCCGTAGCGCTACTGTCCGGGCAAAATTTCAATCATAACACACTGCATTCTGAACATCTGAGACACGCTACCTGCGGAGATGTATCTCAGACGCAGTCAATAGCCATGATATCCATATCGCATGATCTACACATCACAGGTCATGCCATTGACGTCAATGACGTCAACACGTTACATTGTAAACAATAGGTTTATCTTCAGCATTGTTTCCTTTGCACCCATAAAGACTATATAATTCGTCCAGTCCCAACATGTTCTCTCTTCTTCTAATGATTTTTCACAAAAATAACACTACAACTCATATAATTGACGTCTTCAATGACAGCGTCTGCAAATGGTAGCTGCCATCTTGGCACTATTTTGTGCGTCGCTCGTGTCTATTTCAGATATACACAATCAATTCTGTTGATGTTTTTAGCGTTGGGATTGACTAATAATTAATTTATTTCAGTTCTAAAACAAATATTTTAAACTTTAACGCAAATTTAGAAAAAAGCCAAATTCTGACTGGGATTACTGAGCAAAATGGCCATTCACTGTATACGTGCGAAAAAAAAGCTAGCCACCAATTATTTTCGTACGTTAGTTACGTACGAGCACACTGTAATATGGCGTATGTTCGTCTTCATTAACCCAGTCGGAGGAGAACATCATTTCATTTTTTACATTTCCTTATCCGAGGTATATTCCAAAGTGCGCCCCAATCCACTCACTGCTTCATGAATCATGTTAGTTTAAATCGGACATATTGGTTTTTATTTATTTTACAGATTGTTCCGAGGGATTTGAGTCCGGTCACTATACAAATCAGATTGGTATCTTTGAGATTCAACCCACTTCTGCTCCCTCGTCCTTTGAGGTTTTTTGCCGAATGCAAGATGGTGGCTATACATTAATTCAACTTAACGATGAATATAACAATGAAAATTTTAACGAAAGCTGGCAAGAATATAAGCAAGGGTTTGGCTTTTTAAATCACACCCACTGGCTTGGTTTAGACCACATTCATGACATAACAAGTGGTCGATCCCATGATGCCTATGTCTATATGATTGATGAAATGGCTATGACACCGTACCTTAGAAAGTTCGTGAAATTTCGAGTTGAAAATGAGAGTATGGAATATGCTTTGTATTATTCTAGTTCCGAAGCCGTCAGCGGGTTCAACGATCTCGGAGATTCGTTGTACAATCTTGTAGGTCAGGGATTTACAACATATGACCATGACAACGACCAAAGTCCCACAAACTGTGCACATGCTTACGGTGTCGGTTTCTGGTACAACTGGTGTGCCTTGTGTAATATTAATGGAAGGATGGGGACTTCGGTTATTCCTGGCGATGTTACTGAGGCTCATTGGACGAATGATCTAGGACCGTATGCCGTCCTGAAACACATTGAAATACGGTTAAAAAAGCATGATAGCACAATCAAGGGGAAGTAACCCCGTGCGATCTGTACATGTTGGTGATTTCGAATTTAAAACATTATATGTAATTGAGAGTAATCTTTGAACGAATGCAATTGTTTACACTTGGGACACGAAGTACATTCGCTTATTTTTAAATGTTAGGTGCACCACGAGTCCGTCTTCATTATTCCGGCGTGTGCGGCAAGTCGTACGTTAAACCCCATTTCATCGCACCACGTAGATTACACCAGTGTTGCGTTTTGATCCGGTACAATATTCTCAAAAAACATGGCAAGTGGTCTTTACAGTTTTGCAAGTAAAATGGTAGGCATAAGTACTGACGATATATATTTACAGAATTACTAGGTTACATATCTAAACTATTGGAACAATTTAACTTATATTACAAATTTACTATACAATAGCATATATCTAGCTAAGCAATATTATCTGGACTTTAAAGTCTAACACTCCACGGACTGTGTGTTCCTTCTTGGGATAGCGGGAACTGAAATTTACAGAATATCATTATTAAAGAAATATTTTAATTTCCCCCGGGGAAGGTTACTAATTTATAGCTGAAATGAAATGGAGCTTAAAGGCCCACTGTTTTGCACTGATCGGGATAATAAAGACGGGCATGCGCCATACAGTGTGATATGAGTGAAATCTTGCCCAGACAGCGACACTACGGCCAACTCTTATTGAGAATTCCAACAGTCAAGAGTTCGTTTACGTGCAAGCCAATTTGTTCACGGGACCTCGGTTTGTCATCCCATCCGCACGACTAGACATTGTCCCTTGCCAGGCCCTCTGACCAGGATGGGCAAAGATAACGCCGAAAAACCCGATGAACTCTCTCGGCTAACACCGTGATCAAATACGGGACATCCAGGTTAGCGACCCAACGTCTTTCTCACTGAGTCACTGTGGCTCCTAATTTATAGCTAAATGAGGAAGAATACTTATTGTGTTTATGTTATTCTGTATTTTTTTCTACTTAAAGCAACAATATTCAACGCCCAATAATTCTGAAATAATTGGTAGTAAATTTATCTCGGGCCAAAGGAAATGAAATGAAATGGAGTTTAACGTCCTACTGTTCTGCTGCGAACTGGGCTAATGAAGACGGCCATACGCCATACAATATGCTATGAGTGAAATTTTGCCCGGACAGCGACACTACGGTCTACTCTTTCGAATTCCAACTGTCAAGAGATCTTTTACGTGCACGCCAATGCGTACACGAGACCTAGTTTTTTGTCTCATCCGAACGACTAGACAGCTGTCCTTGTCAGGCCCTCTGTCCTGCATCACTGACAAGGGGGAACTACGCCGGAAAATATGGATGAACTTTATCGGCCAATGCAGGGACCGAACACCGACCTCCGGGCTAGCGAGCCAGCGTCTTAGCCACTTAGCCACCGTGAGCCCGTCAGGCCAAAGGAAGACAATTAATCTAGATATCACTTTTCGGTCTAAATGTTAAATTTTATAGACATCTGATTTAAAAATAAACTAAATGCTTCTGTTAGTAAGACCCCTGTCCAGGTATCTTGGACAGTAGATATATTTCAATAAACCATTACAACAAATTTAATACCTGTTTTGTAAATTCATCTTGACACGCCATTCTAATACAATCAGCAGTGGCAGGACTGTCCAACCGGAAGTAACCCCTCCTTCCGGTTTCATATCGAGCAGACATTATGGCCGATTTGGTTGCCATGAAAACAGAAATAGAGAGTAGCAATGGCGGTTCTCCAATAGCCTGCGTGGAATAGAATTATACAATATTAAGTGACTGTTAAAAGTCGCGAGTTCGGTGAAATACCACAGAACTAACACAGCAATCTTTAACTACGAACACACATGACTACATGAGATACAATCAGTCGAATAGACCAAGCAACAACCAAAAGGCGCTAAATTCTTTTTAAAAAAATCATGGGGTTTTTTTTCTGAACATTTCACTATGTCATGAAAATACAGGTTTTCTAAGCTTGACGAGTGGTGCTTCCCCAAAATTTAATCATTACTGGCCATTCTTAATTTTCATTGTCGTCCCCATCTTGTGAACGTCTGACCATGGAGGGCCTGTATGGGCATGTTTGGTTCTTTTTCTCGCTTAGCTCGTGATTTGATATAATGTTAAACAATCCTCGACATCAGTAAATATATTTCGTAAGCTGTTTCACACGGCATCGCGGCATTACGGCGCCTGTACGAAATACTTGTTTTTATTGTTTAATTATTGTGGTCTATGTTTTCATAAAGGCAAAAATTGTATCGAAAATGGCTAATTGACAACCCCATATCTTTAACCTATAGAGACGTATCGAAAGGTTCACCCACGCTATATAAACACAATATCTGAAACACACAATAACTTACCTTTGACGAATAAACAGCTCTAGTATTTGGTTTATCTTTAAGTAAAGAAACATTAAATTGTCTTGGTATATTACCAACAGATGGTATCTTATAATTACCAGGTCCTTTAGTTATCAAAGTTCCTGATGGTGATATTTTATAATCTTCTAGCATGTATAAACCATAACCCTGTAAATATTATTATATATAATGTCCAATAACATAATCTTCTAACATGTATAAACCATAACCCTGTAAATATTATAATATATAATATTTAATAACATAATCTTCTAACATGTATAAACCATAAGCCTACAGATATTATAATACAGCATGTTTAATAACATTAACCATAGCCCTGCACATATTATTACGCATAATGTTTAATAACATCAACCATAACCCTGCAAATATTATTACACATAATACTTAATAAAAATAATCTTAACATGTATAAACCATAACCCTGCAAATATAATATATAATGTTTAATAACAAAATCTTCAAACATGTATAAGCCATAACCCTGTAAATATTATTATATATAATTAAATGGATAATCCTTAACCCTGGAAATAGTATCATTATATAACATACATAAACCATAACCCTCAAACATTATTATACGTAATATTTAATAGCACAAAGCCGAGATATGGCTAACTTGATAAGTATTTATATCTAAACTTGTTCAAGAAACTCAATTTTGAAAACAATAACTTTAGTTTACCTCTTACTTTAAAACTCCATCTTCTATACACAATACACGAAACGCACAAATATAAAACATGTGTATCGTCATTTAACTTAAAACCTGTCGTTAAAACAGGTTTATGACTATCACCAATAACTTTTTATTATATCTAATTTTAAAAATAATCAAATAATACTTGAGGTGTCTTATTCGTATCATTTGGTGATCGAAACCGGGAGAGGGGATGGAGTGCTGCTCCGCCCCCACCCCCTTCCCAATATGAATTTTGTCCCGACGGGCGTGAACTAACACGCCTTTGTCCATAAATATGTCGAATTTGAACTTTCCTGTTGTAATAAATTATCTTAGATCGTCTTAAAATACCTGTATAAAAGCGCCCTCTATTTGTCCTATATCAATAGCTGGGTTTAAACTTGACCCTACATCCATTACAATATCAGTACGTATCACCTTTAAAATAAAACAAAATATGAATGTTTCTATTCTCAGTACAGATGGAGAAAGTATATGGATTATGCGGTAGAATAATATTTCCAGGGGAAATGAATGTCCATTCCATATACATGTAAATGCGGGAACGTGTTCGAAATCCACGTCAATAACATTTTACTTGCAAGTACGACAGTTGCCATGCACGGCATTGGGTATAATTATTATTGGTCTAACAAAATTTCACAGTCCCGAGAGAAAGAGTAACACTTCTGTTGATGTTGCACACTGATCAGCAGTGAATATTCGCAAGGCCGCTACAATCACTGATAATCACGACTTAATGAGCCACAAATATTAACTTTTTTCTTCCCACAAATTAAATTCTAAAACATTTTTTTTTATGTATTAGAAAAATAAGTAACACCGTTTGAAGTATTGGTAGGTAAAATATATTTCCTATTTAGTGTAAATGGGTATTAAAATGAGTAAAATGCACTGCCCGAACCAGTAATATCTCAATTAAACAATACACGCGCCATTGAGTCAATGATTAACGCCGCGTGATGTGACGTCACATGTCGAAGGCAGTCATCCTTTACAGAGATATTGATTATTGATGTCGTTGGAAATTTGCATCATCTTCAAATATACTCCATTTTTGCCTTTAACACACGGCATTAATGCTTTAAAATAAATTAATGATAACGAAAATTTCTATTGACTTACGGAATGATCACCAGTTAAACAATCTATTTCTACTTCGGAACAAGACGCGCCATACGAATAATAGAAAAACGAATTATCACTGTCAGTATCGGGGTCATGGCCAAGACCAGGTGACCTGAAATATAACAATGTTCAGAAACTATTTTTATTCATTATTTTACAACAATTCCAATCAATTGTTTTTTTTTTGCAAAAAAGTAGGACGTTAAACTTCATTTCATTCATTCATCATCAATATTTTTAAACATATAATCGATCTGACTAAAACGCAGATCCTATTTCATTTCTTTTTATATAGTTAAAATTTTTGTTTAACTTGTTTTTACTGCACCAGGAAATTCATGTAGATGGGGCCTTCGAAAGTATAAACAAGCGGTTGCCATGCAAGATACACCTACATTTTGCAAGAGACTTTTCGTACAATCAGGGGCCATAACCCAGGATGTTACGCTCCGACATGTGTCAATGTCACAATGAACCGAGATCATGTATTTTAAGTTTCATCAAAATTTTTACGAAATTCTAATTCAACCGTAATTATGGTGTGACGGTGATATATTTAAACTGTTGTTAAAATCAAATAAAACTTGTGACCTCTAGATGCCCCACAAGCTAAAAACGTGATTTTTAGTACAGTCAGCGTTCATGATCGACGAACTTACGGCCCGATATGTGCCGATATCGAAGGAATTGAGATCTTTGGAATATAAACATATCTTTTAAGTTTCATCAAAATCGAAAAATAATTCTGACCCCTGAAGTGTCCAAAGCTCAAAATGTGATTTTTCGCACAATCAGAGGCCATTATCCAGGAAGATACGGTCCGATATGCACCAATATCGAAAGAAATCGAGATCTTTGGGTTTTAAACATTCATTTTAGGTTTCATAAAAATTGTGACTTCTAGAGGGTCGACAACTTTAGTATTTCACACTTTTATACTATTTGCGTAATGTGGAGCGATCATTTTCAAGGACAGTTTCGGTCCGATTTTCACAAAACTCGACCTTATGCTATAACGGTGATAATAGTATATGGACTTTTTTTAAAATCAAATAAAAATTGTGCAATCTTGAGGGTTCATCAGTTAAAAACGCGATTTTCCGTACAATCAGGGGCCATAATCCAGACAGTTACGGTTCGATATGCGCTAATATCGAACATAATCGAGATCTTTGGGATAAAGATATTTTTTTTAAAGTTTAATCAAAATCGGAAAAAACTTATGACCTCTAAAGGACCCACAACCTTGGTATTACATACTTTTACAGTATTTCCATACAGGGGAGCGACTAGTCGGGCAGTTTGAGTCCGATTTTCCACAAACAAAATGTGAACGGATACACGTGGGCGTATAAAAAACGAAACGAAATATAGATCAGATTGACACATAATTTTTTTGCACAGCCGCCACACTTGTTAAAATATAAAACAGAACTAACTTGTAAAATCCAGTGGCTGATAAACTGACTCGATTTGAATAAGCCTTGAGAACCTACAAGCAAATAAAACCTTATGTCAAAGCTAGAACTTAAAATCGCTGAAGAGAGAGAGAGAGAGAGAGAGAGAGAGAGGGTTTAACTTCCACTCTACACAAACTAGATCATTTCGGGACTAGCACATGGTTCAATTTTATTTCAATAATTCGCCTGCGCGTAGGGGGTCATTAGCAGTGGGAGGAAACCGGAGGACCCAGAGAAAACCCACGGGGTTGGGCAGGCGACACTACTCCTTGCTCCTTGTAACGTACAACCGGTTGACTCAATGACAGAGCTTATGATACAACGCGCACGCGCAAACCATTCTGAACAGAATTGACTCATTATTAAACTTATATTCATTTTAGAGATTCAGCTTTTGCAGTATTGTAGTTTGTAAGGGATTAAATAATCATTAAAATGAGACCAATGACTTTATTAAGCAACAAATTTAACTTACCCAATCATTCCACGTTGATCCTTTCTCATTTTTATACGGTTCTAATCTTTTACTTATCTTCTCACAGGCAATCTATTAATATGATACATATAAATTATAATATCAAATTATATATAATATATTAAATTATAATATCAAATTATATATAATATATTAAATTACAATATCAAATTATAATATTAAATTATATATATAAAATTATTCACTCGAAACCCTTAATAGTGACTGAAGCTTGTTTGAATTAAAACTTTAAATAATTGTAAACGTTTTGTATATTTTAATAGTAATTATAAATACCTTAACAGCCATTCCATTTAGATCAGAACCAGTACTTGCTGCTGTTGCTGATGTATTTGGTACAGTATTGGTGCCAGTTTCATCTATATGTATCCTATCCACTGGAATTCCCAATGTAGCACTAGCCACCTGTCGGGAGAAATGATTGTTTTTTTTATTTATTTAAAGGTATCGTTTATAGGTACCCAATAGGGCCAAGAAAAACAAAGTTATGACGCTGCAGAATCCAATACAAGGGTGTCATACACAAGGCAATGCATGCTTACACTTTCTTAAAAAGCCTGATTTTGCATGCTATAAAAGGGGAACCTTTGTTGTACCTTTATATACATATATGGTTGGCCAGTTCTAGACATTTCCATATGATACGCTAGTGCTTTTTATACGTCCAAAATTGGTGTAGGGGTATATTATTGCCATCCCTGTCCGTCAAGTCGTTCTTGTAAACGCACAATCTTGCCGGGATTGTTCAGCTTAACCCATGGACGAATCATATTGTAACTGTCCCTGTTGCCGAAATTTGTAAACGCTCAGGGTCAGAGATTAGCTGGGGTTGTTTCAAACTTGCTATGTGGAACCCTGTCGAAATTCAGAGTCGTGCAAATATTTTTCGCAAAGTTTTCGTACCTGTAACTGAAACTTATAAATTCTTTACAGGTCAGAGTTAATGATATTTATTTATTTCAACTTGCAAAATGAAATGAAATGGGGTTTAACTGTTCTGCTCCGAACTGGACTAACGAAGACGGACATACGCCATACAGTGTGCTATTAGGGAAATTTTGCCCGGACAGCGGCACTACGGTCTATTCTTATATCGAATTCCAACTGTCAAGGGATCTTTTACGTGTATGCGAATGTGTACACGGGACCTTGGTTTCTCGTCCCATCTGAACGACTAGACAGCTGTCATTGTCAGGCCCTCCGTCCTGCATCACTGAATCGGGGTAACTATTGAAGTGATAATAACTCTCGTTACCTGTATCATTTTAGTATGAAGACCTTGTCCCATCTCTACCCCACCGTGTGCTAATAAAACTGAGCCATCAGTGTAAACATTTATTAAAGCACCTGCCTATAAAAGATAAAAAAATATATAAAATTGGACCTATTAAAAAGTTAATTTATAGGGTGCAGGGCTCTATTTTTTGGAAGCTTGAAATAGACAAAAGCGGTTCAAAAGCATATATTAAAGTAATGTATGTAAAGTGATTTATATGCAATATCTAACCAATTATGTTCGGTGAAATACGTGAAGTTCAGATTGAACGGCAGTGGTTTACGCCTGCTTAGTGCATTCTACTCGTATGTTAAATTATTTTGTCGTTTGTGAAACAACCATTACTAATAACTTCCACATGTTGTAGGATATGTTTTTGTTTGTTCATTACAAAATGGCACCTGGAACCATAATTGTGTCTCAAATATTGGATATTAGGATGCTATAGTTTCACGACAAGATAACAACATCAATATTGATTAATATTGATCTATATTGAATTCTTATTCGTGCTTTAATTTCGAATATTATGGAAAGTATTGAGTTAGAGACTTAGCTTCTTTAACAGATTACTGAATACCTATAATCTTATAACTTTTGTCCTTTCTTGTGAACTTAAAATGGGAATTTATCGTGCACCAAAATTACAAAATCAAATACATCAACACAAGCTAATAAAATATCCAGCAGCTTCAAGTCTACACATATAATAAAGTAGTGGGGCCTGTCTACATCCCCTGTTAGAAGGGTCATCTTGGCTTGTTGTTCATAACTCAATAAATTCTCCAGGCAAGCTCGTGTAATTGGGCAGAGGAGACTAACGTATCGGAATCTATTCCCATGCGCAATTTCACATCTTTAATTCCCAGCATATATCGGATTTTAAACGGAAGGAAACTTTTAACGATCACACCGATAACCCTAAGTATGGAAGACTATTGGGCCATTTCATAATCTCGCCTTCTCGTGGCGAGAACGTCAAGATTATGAACTGGCCGGAATAGGCTTCCATACCTAAGTATACTTCTTACTTACAGAAGGTCTACCCCTTTCCTTCCGTCGATGCCTGTTTCCATTGTCTTTGGGAATGGGTATTATCGTATTGGAATATTTACCTGATTCAGCATTTTAAGCCCAAATGCTATTCCATATTTTAGAGGTATAATAGATAATCCCCCTTTTCTCCAACGATTTGTCCTGAAATAAATGTATGTCACTTAAAGGACAATATTGGTGTCAGTCATTATCAAACATGTGATAGAACTCGTTAAACACGTTCCAAATATAATGCTAATACAGAGATCATTGCTGCGATAGATGTGTAATGAAGGTTTCAAGAAAAGGAAGTTGAGGAACGCAAAAGGGAAACGCGAGTTATCCTGCTATATAACTGACCGAAGTGAAGAGTGATAACAGATACATGGGCAAATTTCTGCTCACTAATAATTCCTTCGAAGACCAAAAGTTTTTATGTGAGACCGTGAGAGGATATCTGACAATTCAAAAAAGTAATTGAATGTCACTATATATGATCACCTATTCCGCCTCATGTACGAATGTAAGCGTACAAATTTAAGAAGCAATGTTAAAATATTACCTATTAAACTCTTCTACTTTTGATTTGCGTGTATAATAATCACTCTGTTTTAAACATTCTTCCCAGCATGAATTTATATTACACTCTGTTATGATCTGGTTATAGTGAGTCCGGTCTCCGTCTCTATAAAAGTTCAGTTCACGTACCTGAGTAATTCAAAATGAATAGGAATTATGCCCAGCATCTCATATGTAGCTTTAAAAGATCTAACACATATTCATAACAGCTGCTGTTCGGGACATCGCATGGGTGTGGAGACGAAGTCGAAAATGTCAACATTTGACACTTTAAATTGTATCATCCCACCCCTCCCTCCTTATATTATGTTGAAATCCTTCAAGTCGATAATACGTGAAAAGTGTGAACTTTCCCCTTTCAATTACCACTGCATACCATCCAAAACATCATACCTACCAGATGGTTATGTCGAAATTGTAGAACGTAATCGGACAAATGACAGGCGGTGAAATGAGATTTGGTTTAACGTTTTACTTTTCTGTCACAACCGGACTAATAAAGACGCGCATACGCCCCGCAGTGTGCTATGGGGGAAGTTTTGTCTAGACAGGCGCTGTCAAAGATTTTTCGAGCAATCCAAACGACTAGACGCTTTTGCGAGCCACGCCGTTTGTTCTGCATCACCGACAGGTTGAAACCAGGCTGAAAAATGTCGAGGAACGTTCATGGCTAATACCTAATCGTACCCGGGATCTTTTACTTGGTTGTTGAGCCAGTACCATATCCAGCGAGCTACTATGACCCCCTTGGATGATTGTTATGTCATGAGAGTTTTTTCCAGGAACGTTCGCGGATAATACCTAATCGCAACCGGGATCTTTTACTTGGTTTTTTGGCTAGTGCCATAATATCAAGCGAGCCACTATGACCCCTGGACGAATGTTATTTCATGATAGTCTTGTAGACCGGATGATGGGCTAAGCATAACATTTATCAAATTAAAACTGAGTGACGCGAGACTTTGTTTATGTGTACAAAATCGGGTTACCTTTACTGGGTCGAGTTTGTTATCATCTATAATATGCTGTATAATACTTTCCATTACAAACATTCCTTGTAGTGTACCAAAACCTCTAAATGCTGTATTTGATCGAATGTTTGTTTTACATAAATGTCCCGTTACTCGAAAATTTGGTATGTTATAGCAGTTGTCACACTTTTTCATGGCATCTTGCAACATCTGAAACATCAACAATTTAATAAAATATAGTACCACTGGCCACTGAAGTGCAACCGATTTGAAAGGCCATAAATAACGACACAAATTTGAGCAATCCGCGTGGAGTGGACCGGGGAAACGTTTCATAGCATTGAATAAAATCAATGGATACCAAACTTATATAAATTTATTAACTGAAAAATCATAAATTCTAACAAAGAATGATTTTTATCCAGATTATAATTATATACTTTTACACTCATAGTTTCATTATAAAGATTGGTTTCGAAATTGAATTAACATACTGAAAACTTAAAGGTCACCGGAAAAGGTTCATAATTTTTTTAAATAATGCAAGTAATAATGTCAACATATCCTTTCCATAAGTATAACCCGAATGTCAATATTAGCTGCAAAAGGTAAATTTCAACATTAGTAATTTCCGCCGTTCTCCGTGGGTAGTCGTAACTTTCCGTCAATAAGCAATCCGTGACGTCATTTTAGTCCTTCTGCACATAGAAATATAGACTAGAATATGAGCAGAAGGACTAAAATGACTAAAATTATTACTTGCATTATTTAAAAAAAAAATTGATGCTTTTCCGGTGACCTTTAACCTATTAAGATGAAACGTTATAACGAAGGACAATGTTGTTGTCTATCAATTTAACATTGCAATAGAAATGGCAAATTAAAATAGATTTCAAATATAACTATAACATAGAAATATGTGCCATGGTTGACCAGTAGACAAGATTTGACGATTTCATTATGACTTTAGTTTGTTTATACCTTAATAAATTATAACTAGCGGTGATGTACTGAATACCTTTTCTTTTTATCTCGTTTTCCAACTCACTTCATTCAGTTCTTCTTATAAATAAACATATATCCTCTTGAATATTCATATAACAATTCTTGTCTTGAGAGGAATTATCAATGTGCCGAGAATCGTCTTTGCAGCTATTGCCTATCTTTCTTTCAATAACTGATTATTTTTTTGCGTCACTTCCAGAATATCAAATCTTTGTTACGGCTGTGCAATTATATTTGAAATGTGTTTAACCAATTCTATCACATATGTAAAATTGATGGATAGCAACATTCGCCTTTAAAGGTGCTATTTTTCTGTATGGTAGAATTGTAGAACATGCAGTAGTTGAAAAAAGAGAACCTCGGCTATATTAAAGGAATTGTATACTTACAGCAGCTGACATATCTAAAGAATTTCCACAATTTGCATAAAGATTTAAATCCAGACAGGTGATACGACCATCTCGTGAGTAGCCCACCTTTAAAAAGAAATGGATGCAATAATATATGTTTACTATTGTTCTTAGCGTTTAACAATTGATATTGAATTAGTGGTGGAGATTCCTGTTTGGTTCTACATCGAAAAAGAATATTATGTCCGACGAAATCGCTCCAGCTTCTTTCATGTTATAAACCTAGCCATAGTCCACCAAACTGGTCCATGTTTTCGACGTTACATTTGATCGCATTTCTTCAAATTGTTTAGTTTTCAATCGTTTTTTCAGTTAACTACATTTGAGATGAACATGACAGGCATATGGGTATATGGTACCCATATTAAAACAAATAGTATTTACCTTATATTTTCCGAGAAAAGGGTGCCTGGTTCCAGTCATTATCATATCATCATCTCTTTCTAAAATTATTCTTACTGGTTTATTATATCTGTTTATATACAAAACAAAACCATTCTTATTGGTTTATTTATTGTATAAATATGGGAACAAAAATGGTTCAAAAAGCCACAAGACCACAAAATATCGCCACATATTTACAATGTTTTTGACTACACTATAAACTTGATTTTGGAAACTTACTTTGTAGCCGCCATGGCCGCCAATGCAGCTACATGACCACTCTGTGTTTCTTTTCCACCGAATCCTCCACCTGGGTGTAAGAAAAGACCAATGATAGATTGTGATAATACTGATATTACTGATGAATCTGTTTGTTAAAATAAATATTCTTACCCAATCTCTTCACGAAACATTTCACCTTATTTTTAGAGATTCCAAGAACATCAGCAACCGAATCCTATAAAATATATATTTATATTATATTATTGGGGTGTACAATATATGTTTATATCACAATATTGGGGTACAAAATATGTTCTGAGGTACAAAATATATATTTATCATATCATTGGGGTACATAATATATATTTATATCGTATTATTGGGGTACATAATATATATTTATATCACATATATTAGGGTACAAACTATATGCTTATATCATATCGTTGAATTAAAAGATACATATTTTTTTTTATCATATTATGGCCTGGCTACAAAATATATATTTATGTCATATTATTGGGGTGCAAAACGTATATTTATATCAAATTACTGGGGTGCAAAATTTATATCTATATCAAATTACTTTGGTACAAAATTTATATTTATATCAAATTACTGGGGTACAAAAGATTTATTTATATTATTTTATTTGTGTTCAAAATATATATTTTCATTATACGAGTTATTACAGGCTAATAGAATATGTTTATCGATGTCTAACTTTATAATATACTCTTCAAAAAAAGAAGTAGGGGATATTCAGAAACAATATAAAACTGCGGAAATGCACTGCTGTTTTTATTAGAGGTAACCAGTGTATATTAAAAACAGGCCAATTGCCCACACATGACCATAAACAGTTCATATGGGCGGCTTATCTGGCGGCCCCATTTCACTCGCAAAGAGATACACAGTCAAAAGTGAAAATGGACGTTTTTGATTTTTGTCTTAATAATGAGTAATTGCCCCACCAATCCTCAAACATTCGGCAATTTGTCGTGGCATGCTCCTAATCAACCGTCCAATCACGATTTGGAGCAATCTGGCCCACTCCTCTTGCAGTGTCACGGCCAATTCTTGCAGTGTTGTCGGTTGACGTTGACGTCGACGAACACGCCTCCCGATATGTCACAGACATGCTCTATAGGGGAAAGGCCAGGAGTCATGGCTGGCCAAGGCATATGCACAATATGGTGACGCTAGAGGTCGTCATTCACGACACAAGCGCGGTGGGCACGGGCATTATCATCTTGAAAGATGAAACGTCGACCTGCACGTTGAGCAAAGGGCATAACTATCGGTGCCAGGATGTGGTCACGGTAGCACACACGAATGACACTTCCTTGAACAATAAGCAAGTCCGTTCTGTCAGTCATGTTGATTCCTCCCCACACCATATAGAACAGACCCACGCCCGAGTCTGTTATGCTGTCTGGCGTTAACGTTAGCATGACGCTCATTTACACGCCTCCAAACGCGAGCACGCCTATCGGTGAAATCCAGAGTAATTCTGGACTCATCTTAGAACATCACAAGCGCCCATCGACGATCACCCCAATTTCTACCCTGCCTACATAATTGACGTCTGTTTGCCATGTGCTGGCGAGTTAATGGAGGCACAACACGCTGTCATTGCGCATACAAATAGGCTGCATGAAGCCGGTTTCTAATAGTTTGGGATGTAACTCGAATTCCTGTAACTTGGTACAAGTTTACAGAAAGCTGATTGGCAATTTTTCCTCGATTTCGCCGGACCTGTGTACGGATGTATCGATCCTGGGCTTGTGTAGTGGCTCTAGGACAACCTGAACGAGGTCTATCATCAACATTGTGTGTTTATTGGTACCGGTTCCACAGTCTGCTGATCACAGACTGTGACACATTAAGCATGTTGGCTACTGCTCGCTGTGTAGAACCGATTTCAAGCATGCCAATAGCACGTAGAGCTTCATCGTGTTGAAGACGTCTCATTGCAAAATAAACGTAACACACTAAAGCAAAGATACGCTAAACAGTAAATGTTAGGCAAGACCCGATAGGAAAGCAAAGCGGCAGTTTTCATCAACCCTTCCTTGAACTGTCAATTTGACAATGAACCCCTCCCACGTGTATGGCGCTATTGCGTGTCGCATGTGCTGCTCAGTGGTTCTGTTGGGTCGATAAGTTCTTCATCTGTGAACATACTCTCAAAGCATGTCAAGTTTCCATGACTATTTATCATATCGCAACCTGCATAGGTATTTGCATTTCAATATCTCCTACTTTTTTAAAGAGTATATAAATAACATGTATCTCCACACGTAGTGTTTCACGAGAGTTAGCATTAGTTTATAAACAATGAATAAAATATTTCTTATTATTTAACGAATAAATTTTACTAATCGGAATACGCCTACACGCAGATATAAAGCAGCCGTAATTACTTCAAAATCTCAAATTGTAGAACGTGGTTTTAATTAAGATATGCAGTATACATTATGAAATCGTCCCGAAAATATGCAATGAATGTAAGTCTCAGGTTGAATTAAAGAAACTAACTTGAGTGAAAGTTATTCTTTGAGAGGCTGTGTACACATCGATTTCGTCTCTCTCCTTAGGTACAGCTATGGCTGTTTGTGTTTCAAGACAGAAGTGTTCCTGTGCTCCTATATGTATCTCTCCCTCCAGTATTTCTTCACAGTCATCAAAACCTGTTTCTATATTCCCTGTTATATACACGGGTGACTTTTTCAGATAGGAATTATTGTTTATAGCATCCTACAAAACAAAACGCTATTTAAAGATACATTATGGGAGATTAGATAAACAGCTGACAGTTCAAAACTAGATAATGTAAAGGCAATTTCCTGAAAATTTCAGTCAAATTTATCCACCACTATTAATCGAGAATCAAGCGATTGTAATTTCGGCCTAGCCTCGATCATCATTACTAAAGTCTGTACGATAAAAAAAACATAGTCTCGATCATCCATTTCATTATTAAATAACTAATGAAAGTCGAGCAGCAAATATCGCAGGCTAGCGATGCCATCGGAAGTTGATTATGGTCTGGATAAGTTAATTAATGTCTAATTATTAATTTAGATAACATTTGAGGTAAAAAGAAAGACCTCCAATTGGCAGAGTTAGCTCTTGCATAATTATTTGGCCAGTGAGGTTTTGGGCTAAGAGACTGGAGACTACAGCCTCCTGACCCCATGCCCTAACTTTAGGTCACAAAAGGTGTGATCGCTCCAGACCCCCTACAATAGATTTCTAAGCGTAGCATGCCACGGCTATCCTCAGCAAACTCGGTCCTTTGGCGACCTCCATAGCAAATTCAACTACGTCATCGGCTGTATGTACTTTGAGCTATCTGTTCATTTCGAAGTGTTAAAGTCTGGGATCATTAGAATAAAAATAACACCCTCTATTGAGTATTAGGCTTACTTTCCCTCCATAATCTCTGTAGTACGGGAGAAGGTAAGAATAATAAACTAGGTTCTTTTGTTATAATACAGGATATATTTTAAAAGGTCAATTCGAATCATCACAATGCCCGGAGGACATCGTGTGGTCAAGGTCAAGATCAAAAGGCGAGAACTGACTGATTGCATCATCGTCAATCATTAGAGGGCCTGAATACAAAGTCCTATTGTTTTACTTATATACTTATACATGTACAATAAATAGGTTACCTGGTTAATGGTTTGACCGACTTTGAGTTACCTTAAATATTGAGTACGGACGTACGACTATTTTACACCTCTTTCTACAATCCAGCTTTGATATACCGTTATTCCTTAATTCCTTTAACACCTTAACTGGTTTAAAGCTATATTACCTCTACAGTTAAATAAGGTTAAAGCTATATTACCTCTATAGTTATTATGGCTGGTAAATCTTGATATTCTATTATAACACATTTACTAGCTTCCCGGGCGATCTCACTTGATGTAGCTACAATACCTCCAATTAAACATCCCTCACATGTTATTTATAAAACACAAGTAGACAATACAGCAATTTGATGTAGATTTTAATAATCACTCTTACCACACACCCAAGCACTTAGAGTAAGGTACTTCTAAAATGAATTGATAGGATATGGGTGCAACTTTATGTGCTTTGGGACAATTTTCTTTGAAAACCACCAGATCATTTGCATGACTCGTAAATTGACAACTAAAACGTTTACATTTCTGTGATGGATTGGTCCCAAATTTTGGATACAATCTAATCTGAACATGTACGATGTATGTATATCGGCAAATCACGTCAAATAGAACATTAATGCCTCGTTAATATTATACACATCAGATAAATGATGACATTTCTTTCAAAAAGTCAGTTTACTAGACCACGAACGAGAGAACGGTTCAGCTGTCCAGTTATTCCGAGATTAAAAATTAAACCAACTAAAATGTGAGAACAAAAATGAATGGAAAATGTGAGTTCAAAAAAATTACTAGTATTAAATTTACTCATATTATTTCCATAGGATGAAGCAGCTTTAGCAGCCTGGTTATCCATGGTACCCTAACATCCAGAATAACGAGGTTTTACTGTATTATACAATTACCTCGTCGACTGCCAGGAACTGTTCTTCAATCACTTCCAGGTAGTTGACACCTTTAATATCCCTATGATCTATATAACCTATGACCCCATGTATTTCCAATGAAACAGACGTATCAATGTTCAGTAGGGTAGCGTGGGCTTTAGAGCTGTAAACCGGTGCTATAAATAGTTCTCCTGTAAAAAGATCAAGATATCTGGGATGCATACTTTTTGTATATGAAGATAATCTGAAGTGAAGAGCAATACTAGTACCAATAAAATTCAACTTAATTAAAGGACATTACATAACATTATATAACATTATTATACAGTTCAAAAATAGATAATGAAAAGGGGATATGTTGAAAATTTCAGTCAAATTACCTCATTGTGAACTGAGTTATCGGCGATACAATTACAATGTAGCCTCGAATGCCATTGCTACCGTTGTTAAGATAAGAAACAAAGTCGATTATCCATTTTTACGTTAAATCATCAACCACAAAACGTATTTAAATCTGCTTAAAATCAGAGTCATCCCATGGCATTGAGAGTTGATTATGGTCTTGGTAAGTTAATTAATGTCTAATTAATAATTTATATAAGGCCTAAAAAAAACTTAGCACTTGCATAATGCCTGTTTAAGCATACTAGGTTATATCAGATTTAGACAGTGACAGTACATCATTACTAAGGTCGCACTTAATTAAATTGAAAGTAACGGTCCTAATTAAAGGAACTAATATTAAAATAATGTATTAATATTTACCCTTTAACGGTAACATATCATCAACATAGACAGCTTCACCTGTAGCCTGTTGGTAAGCCGATGTATGCACAATAGGTCGTCCTATAGGATTATCATCTTTCTGAGCAGCACCAACTAATTCATAAACCTGGCTTCCCGTACTTGGTCCTAATTCGGGTGTTTCTATGGCACTCAGATGTGATCGTGGTATTGGGGTATTGTGTATGATTTCCTGGGTGATATTAACATTAATTACTATGGTTACAGCTTATTAAAGATCTAAGTATATCAATTATATGACAGGTTGAATATGGTGTTCAACAGGATTCTGTCTTTATTCTGGTATTATTAGTTATAATTACAAATAAACCATCTGATTATACCTTCATGTGAGAATCATCATGAAATATACCAAATGCAAAATCCCCATGTCTGCTTGTCAATCGACCGACCGTTCTATATTTCCAGGTCCTAGGATACAGAGATCATTAAATCATGTTACTGTATTCTATTCTACAAGGACATGCACATATTTGAAAGAAGCGCGAACGTAATAAATGCGTTATGAAACATGAAATTGGATGTATCACACACTAGGATTACTGAGGCGAATGTGACCCCCCGCCCCACTATATTTATGAAACCTTTAGTATTAATTTGTCATTTTATGAGTGCTAAGAAAGGTCACCTTATTATATAGTTGTTGTGCGACTGTTAAATAAAATTTAAAGAAGAAACTCGTAGTTAAAGTTCTTCTGTATTCTATTGTTCCACCAGGAGCATCAGCATTTAAAGGTAAATCATCTTCTAAAGTTTGGCAGGCTACTTGTACTAAATTATTATCCCATTTTCTGAAATAATAAAACGGGTTGTCCTGTGAAATCAAAATTGATAGCTTTTTTTATTATGGTTTAGTGATTACCCATTTTCTATTTTACCGTATACCACTTAACCAATCAGACGCATGGAAACGAACAGCGTTAGTACTCTTTCAAGTCATTCAAACAATCCGTTTTAAAAATGTGCTCTTATAACTAACTAATTGGTAGATTCTGCCTTCCTAACCTAAACAAATCAAGGTACTGACAGAAAACACACCCTTTTCTTAATTACCTTCCAATCAGTTTCTGCATTGTGGTTTTCGCCATAACTGTTGTTGCTGCCATTCCCCCATAGGATAAATAGAGTTCTTTGATGATGTCGGATTCATTTTCAAAAACTACTCTCATACCGGCATTAACTATAGCAATATCATCATCTTTTCTCAAAGCTTGTTTATAACTTTCAAAATATTCATCCTAAAATTAACATTATGAATAATGTTAAAATTGCATTCATTATGGGTTCAACGTCCAGTCAATGCATTACTTAAGACATTTTAAGTGTAACAAAACACCGGGTTTTATTTCTAGAGTCGCGTGTTCCGCTAATTCACGTTCTAATTTCAGCTGTCAAAGAATGCTTTATGTGCATCCTCTGGATCAGTCACACATGGGAAATGTCCGCCCACTAAAATTTTTATTTTTGTTTAGCAATAACGGGTCATTCCTCAATTTTACAAAAAAAACATCCTTAGATTTAATAGTACCTTTCCAGAAAAGGGAATGGTCACAGACAGCAAGACATCAGAAGCTGAGATGATAGTTTGTCTGTAGCTTTGAAAAAAATCTTTATCCATAAGAAGTTCTTTTGACTTTGAACCTGTAAAATTAAAACATATGGTAAGTTTTTTGTAATATAACTTAAAATAAATAAATATAAAATGGAAAATTAAAGTATAAATTTTGTTATAATTTATCTTACCTTTAGAAACAACTTCTAATCTAGTGGTGCTGGCTTGAAATATAGGATTTAAATCAGAAATAGGACTTGCTGTCATTATATTTCCTCCAATACTCTTGTAAAATAAAATATACATAATATCAAATTACGGAAAATGCAGTAGAATTCAGTAACAAGATATTCCAGCTAGTAACTGGTATTCATATGACCATCAATTATTCTCCAAAGACTAATAATATATACCGTACAATTAATAATACGATTCATGGATTTAGATCAAACTTACCGCTGTGTTTCTTATTTGTTTACTAGAAAACCATTTTAACATTTCAATTACGGCTGTAAAAACCCTTGTTTTCTCTTCTGAAATAAATAGCAGCAAACACACGTCAGTTTAGTGATACTTACGCATACTTCTACTTAAAAAAAGAGAGAAATGGGGTTTAACGTCCACTCAACACAAACTAGGTCATATCGGGACTAATACATGTTTCAATTTTATTTCAATAATTCGCTTGCGCGTAGGGGTCTTTAGCAGTGGGAGGAAACCGGAGGACCCGGAGAAAACCCGCGAGGTTGGACAGGCGACCCTACTCCTTGTCAAGTACAACCGGGGATTCGAAACCACGCCAGTTGACTCAATGACAGGCCTTATGATACAGCACGCTCGTGCTAACCATTCGGCCATCCAACCCCCCTTCTACTTAAAAACAAAACCATAACAATACACGAACTGCCAACACTAAATCACAACTTCAAAGTAAATTCAAGAATAATTTGTGCTGGACATACCACAGGACATCATCCGAGGTTCCCCCAGATTAGTCCAGTGCCAAGTACCATCATATGTTCTGGAAGGAATAAACATACCCAGTCTCTGGCACAAAATCCATAAGAATGTTACAGAAGAGAGAGTTACTTTAATGGTTTATGTTGGCAATTTTATGGTTCTAAATTATAGTGGTTATTGGCCTTATTAAAAGACGTTCATCGTTCATTAAAATTTGTTTTTAGGATATTGGTTAGGATTAATGACACTATTTGCGACTCAAAGAAATTCGAGGTAGGTATTCAATTCCACATCCACCTTCCTCGCAATTCTTCGAAACATCAAAAAATCTATTACTCATGGTGAACATCTTAGTAACATCCGTCCTCACTGTACTTACGTTACATTGCATTTAGCAAAATGTTTAATACCTGGCAAATCCCCCTTAGCCTTTTCCAGAACCTCTTCTACGTTAGATAATGTAACAGAGGCACCAAATTTAATTCCATCTTCAGTAAATTTTATATCTGTTAATTCAGGTACATGACTGGCGTTGACTAATACTGAATACTTCATATTTTTAAACCTAGATTCTATACCTTGAAAAAAGACACCCGTAGGTATATGAATATACGATTCAACGTAAAGAACAATATCATTAATTTAGAACTGTGTAATTATGTAGATAAATATACCTCTATGTACAAATTACAGTACTATACAGTAAAGTTCAATTAATTTCTGGAGATTCGGTTTATTGCATATTTTAGTAAAAAAAAAGAACAACCCGCTTTCTAGAGCCACTGAGTTTTAAAATGATTTAAAACATGTTTTACTTACTCCAACATCTAAAGATGGAAATGAAATTTACACTAATTGGTAATATTCCGTATTCGTTCTTAAATAATAATCATTATATTATAAGGGTAACTTCAAAATAATTACCGACTTCAGTGTTGCCTATAATTATCTTAGAATCAGGATATTCTTCTTTTAATTCTAATAAATCAGTTAAAGTCACCGGTCGATACCATTTCACTTCGTTAGTTTTAAACATCAAGGCTTTCTTGTTATATTCTTCAAAATTAATCTTAAATAACATAAAATATAAACCCGAATCAAATGGTATACTTTTTATCAAAACGAAATGGGTGATGATGTATATATTTTCCCCACAACCTCTTCTAGATCCCCACGTTTAAATTTCCATTTCTTTTTTATTTTTATGCAGTTAGTTTTCGACCAATGAACATCCTGTATTGTGTTTTTTCACTAAATTAGGTTAATCTGAATAGGGTATGTCTACAACCCCAAACAAAAACGTCGTCTCCACTGTCAATTTTTTTTTTAAAAAAAAAATAGACCTCTGACCTTTAAATCAGGTGGAAATATTGGTTCTTGTGTAGGATCATAAGGTGATGTATAAACATTAGCCTGAAAATATAGATAATACATTGGTCCATTATTAGACAGAACAACTTTCTGTTGTCACCTGGCCCTCCTTTAAAATTTGGTACAGAAAATTATACATAAGCTTCCGTTATCAGATGTAGCATTTTAAAATATCAATATGACAGAAATGTAAGATGTTCAAATGAGAGAAGCTTGATATACGCTCGTATATACCCCTACATGGATACTCTACCTGGATTAATCACGTCTACATTTACTTACATCCTGATCTGTTTTGTTATCGTTTTTGGCTTTATTTTGGCAGCAGTTCTCCCCCATACCACATCTATCCTAGAAATAAAGCACAGCAAATTATCGATATCATGTCCATCAATATAGGACTTTTAAAAATTGAAATGTAGTGGTGATGATATAGATAAGAATGCGAAATCTTGTCAAAGTATTAGCACAATCCACGCAGAGTTAAAAAAACTCTAGAAACCAATGACAAATTATTCGTCATTCTTTCGTCTTTAATATATAGCCACTCAAAGAAATTTCATTACCTTCGTCTTCTTTTAATGCTGGAGTAGAAAAGTAGGACGCTAAACCCAATTTCATTTCATTTGAAGCATTTGTTGTAATCATCTTTTAAAATAACATCTTCTGAGTAGAATGAATTCGAAAGAGTAAATAGTAATATGGATTTTGTTTACTCACCTTAGAAAATATTCTATAGCCATCTAGTATTGGCCGATAACCAGTACATCTACACAGATTTCCTATAATACAAACAAAAACCTAATATGTCGACTGTATTACAGTAAAAGACAGACATAAATTAATTTATTTCTGTTTCAATTTGCATAAAAGTTTATATAAAGGCGTACAAAACTGTTATTATAGAAATATAACACTCAACACCGGGTTTAACAAGGATAATTTTTGGGTCCTATTCTTTTGGTTCAAACAATAAATCACACAGGACTACGACAAAAAAAAAACTGCTTGTGATTCAACATTCTGATTCATAATTATGCGCTTTCATTTCGTATTTTTTAACTTGGTGTTTATCGCAAAAATAAAGTGAAATTGTAAATTCATTAAATCTAAGACATATAACTACAGCTGTAGTGATTTTAGGGTGGCTTAACAAAATAACTTCATATCTAAGAATATTATCTTATAAAGTAACTTACCTTTTAGGTATTTTTCTATCTGTAACATCGTAGGTTGTGGATTATTCCTTAACAAAGTGTACATAGACATAACCATGCCAGGTGTACAAAAACCACATTGTGATCCATGACTTTTAGCTATCTGTTCCTATAAATAATATAATATATAAACATATAATACATTTATGAACCACGTCGATTGTTTCTACAAATCTAGCTCAATTACTGCACGGGGGAGGGTGGGGGTCTTATATAGATTATGAGTTTTGTCTGTAAAATGAAAAGTTTTCTTTAAGGTAATCGACCACTCAGTCTTCAAATTTATGATAGCTTTTAGAATGTTTCCTCATTACATCCATAATAACGCAATAAGCATTAATAGTTTATTGACAAAATACTGAACCAAACACAAAATATAGGACGCCATTAATATCCTTATAAAAATTGGTTGTTAGGAAGTTATTTGAAAATCGTACCTGTACTGGGCGTAATATTGTAGTATAATTATACACTAGTATGGTTTATCGTACCTGTACGGGATGTAATTTCGTATTATAACTATCTAATATTGTTATACCGTACCTGTACTGGATGTAATCGTATACTATTATAAACTAGTGCTATACCGTACCTGTACTGTATGTAATCTTGTACTGTATGTAATCTTGTAATATTATTATATACTAGTATATAATAATGTTATATCGTACCTGTACTGGATGTAATCGTGTACGAAGACTACCAATACCTTCGGTAGTTGTAACAGCTAAACCATGTACAGCACAAACTGGTGTTAAACACGCATTTACTGAAAAATGTCTGAATCACTTTCATAAGGACTTAGAAATAAAATTAACGGTAAACTAATTCATCAAATTAAACTATTCATTTTGCAACATAAATGTACATGGATTCAGATGAAATTGATCATTCACATCTTGAAAAAACAAATACACCATTCCAGTCCAAGCTGCATTGTTTCATGTAAAAATGCTCCTATAGGGTGAAACTAATTCGTATCTCAAATTCATAAGTTTTCAAAAGAAATGAATTAATAAAAAGCAAAGACTAGTTCTTCCGGTGTCTTTTAATTGTAATTGATGGAGAAATGATAAGAAATTAACTCAAATTTTACAATTGACCGCTCAAAGACTCCGAGGTATGCATGTTTATTTGGAATGTTACAAGATTCAATTCGGTTGGAGGCGTAGTATAGTATTTTTGAAAAAAGGATACCGAATTGTGCTGTTTTTATCATCATATTTTGATATCATAACAGTACAGGCACCACATCCTCCTTCACCACAAACTAACTTAGTACCAGTTAGAGTTACTGCTTATATTAAGGATTCTTTTTACCTGCTCTTATTTATGGGTTAAATATCATTTTGATGTTTCATATCATTATTGAGTTTAGATCCTGATATCAGTGATGTCTTTTTACAAATTGGTGTCGTGCTGATCAGACAAATTAATACTAGTATATTTGTTATTTGTGTTGCTTATTTCCAAATGGATGATAGCGTGTTCTCATATGTCTGCTCTTTGGGCGTTGCCATATTGTATGAAGAACAACCTTTAACAACGTTTTTTTATCTTTGTTTTATTTTGGTATGGCTTATGTCTTGAGAAGTAAGACATTTTAAGCACAGTATCCTTTCGCCGCTACTGGAACTTGTAGTATGAAAAGGATACACTTTTTCCTAAGGTAGTATAATAAGGTACATGTTGGGTCTGGATGACTTTCCGTTATCTGAAGAATTTGAATTCAAAACAAAGATGTAAATATTCTTAAAAGTAGCCCTGGGTGGAACAGATGAGATTTTGCATTCCTACTTGACAAATTCTTTGCAGTGAATTGAATGTGAGATTTTAGTTTTTAACTTAACAATTATTTCACAATTCCCTATATTAAACTGTACTTTTATCTGTTGTTTTTGTATTTGAGAGCTATTGGAGTATGTCCATGCCATTCACGTCTAAAATGTCTGTATCTAGTGGACATGATAATAGTATATTTGTGTTTTACCTTTTCACCATTTACATAGAAAACCAGATTATGTCCTGTTTGATTCTCCATAACAATTTACTCTGTTCTTGACAGGATCTGTATAACCAATAATAGTCAAAACTATACAGAGCTTGCATAGATTGAAATGAAATGAAATGAGACGGAGTTTAACGTCCAGATTATTTTACTCCAAAATAAAGGGTTGATATTTTTTGTGTTACTCTGATTATTGATCTGTAAAATATTTGACGATTTCATCAGAATAAAAGTGGAAGTTTGGTTGTTGACAAAACACAAAATTGGTTTTTATCTGCAGATGTACCATTTTTAATGCAAACAGGTTTCTAACTTGGCAGCGAACACAATTCGACGCCTTCTTCTAAATCCAAACCAAAGGGATCGTGTCATTTTAATGTTTTCATATAAATGCCATGATGTTAAATCCGGTGATAAGTTTTCATTTGATTGAATGGTCAAGCATGTAAAACTTATTTATTCAAATTTTGCATCAAATTAAATCGATACAACCTATAGTATGCAATTAAAGGTTTAAAAACAAAAAGTCCCTACCCTTAATCAGTAATGTACAAGCCTTGTATAGTTTACAGCTAGCCTTATTGCTTACTCCATTTTTAATTCATGTAGTTGGACTTTGTCACCCGGAGGGTCTGACATTTAGTTTAAGTATGACATAGCGGGTTGTTGTGTTGTTATGTATATAATCAATTTTATAATATTATTGTCGCACGGACGTAGATATACGGTGTGTTATGTTTGTGTGTGTTGGTGTGTGTGTGTGTGTGCTGGGGGGGGGGGGTCAACTCGACACAACTAGGTCATTTCGGGACTAACATATTGTTCAATTTACTTCCATGATTCACTGGGGAATAGGGGTCATTAGCAGTGGAAGGAAATCGGAGGACCACGAGGTTGGTCAGTCAAGCGACCCTATTCCTTGGGTTCGAAACCACACTGCACCCGTAAATTCAGCCACGATTAGTCCGGTCATTTTTACATAAATAGAGTCGCCTAATACAACTGCTTAAATCACGTCGAGAGCTTTTGAGCTAACAGTCAGTGCTAGTTAATAGCACTTTTCTATACACGCAATGCATACACATTGTAGTTTGATTACCCTTTTGACTGGATAGCACCACAAAACGGGCAGTTTAAATTAAGTGACCATAGAGCCGAACCTTGCTGCACCCCACATTTGAGTGAAATTAAAAATTAACTCGTGTACATCAAATTATTATCCACTATCAAAATCTTTATTATAAACTTAAAACAATTATAAATCTGCTTGTATACAAAACAAATTATTCTTCACGTTGCAAATAGTAAAACAACCCGTGACATAGATCTTGATAATCTGTGGGAGCATATTTTGTTTATAGGTGAGTTAATGATCTACGGCATCACCTATATTAAGATTCATCGTTCATAGACTCATTATTTTGTTCATATATTCTGTTTTGTGCTAACATTTTATATTATAAACCTGTAACGGTAAATCTCTTTGACCTTTGGGGTATATTCTATGCCCGGAATAACTTGCGGTCTGAAAGTCGGGTTTTTTTTTTATATATACAGGTAAATTTGGGGTTATTCTTCAAATTATTCTTTAAACCTGTAACGGGTTATTCTTCCAGGGTAGGTTTTTTCCATAAGAAAACATGATCTAAGGTTTTTCTTGCGGGAATTCTGGGATATTCTCATCTTGCGTACATGTAAACATAGACGGTTTATAAGCAAGATAAAGTCCTCGACTTCGGTTATGCTGAGGAAAAAAGACTTCAGAAAAAAAACCCTACCGGCATCGGTTTTTCTTTTTCTCGGGTTATTTTCTTCAGCCTTTCTTTCCCCAGCATAACCTCAGTCTCGTGCTTTATCCTACACATATTGACCGTTTATCAATAAACAGGTCAAGTGAAGTATACATAATTCTGAATAGCGATATATATACGATATTTTGGAACATAATAATTAAAATGATATTCAAAATAAAATTCATGTTAAAAAAATTAATATATTTTAACTTAGATATAGTTCTACGACTAACATCCCATGATTGTATTATATTGATCAAGTAATTATTGGAACAGATGAGCAACATACAATTAGTCCTTTTATAAAACAAACCTAGATCGTCGAGTAATGATTTAATTTGGAGATCTCTATTATATGATCTACAACCATACAGATCAAACAAACCAATCATGATCTTTAAATAATGACTTTGCACAAATTAATTACATCGTGAAAGCCCATACCAAGAGATAGATTGGATTTCATTGGTTGAAATTAGAATAATTGCACAATGTTAAAATAATCAAAGCTTCACACTCCAGGGTCTGTAGGTTCCTTTTTCAGCTGGTGGAAACTGAAATAAAGCGCCAAAAAATAAATTCTAAATTGATAACAAAAAAGGATACGAAATAAGCAATCGTTGGACATTTCTAATATGAACATTTAAAATTCAGAAAATTTATATATAAATTCAATTTTCACAAGTTAGTCAACACAACTTTACTGTAGTTTAAAATCATAGAAAAAAAACTAAATTAAGGCATGAAATTAATTGTATGCAAATCATAAGTCAGATATTCATATTATCAGGCCATAATTAAAACAAAATTTGGTGATATATGTTTATTCAGTTACGGTAACGTGTTCAGACCCTCAGAAACGATTTTAAATATTATTAGTATTTTATTCCATTTTTTCCCCCTAGAGTAATGATAAAACTACTATCTACGTAGGTCTTTGCAGCTTGACCCGCGTACCCCCATGACTGAGTACTATTAACACTACGGAGAAACCCTCTTATGGTCACGCGTATGTGGATGTCATACCTGTTTAGTAAATTCATCTTGACAAGCCATTCTAATATTATCAGGAGTAGCAGGACTGTCTAACCGGAAGTGTCCTCTCCTTCCAGTTTCATGTCGAGCAGCCATAATGGCCGATTTGGTTGCCATGATAACAGACACAGACAAGAGTAATGGTGGTTCTCCAATGGCCTGAAAAATTTTAATGAATGCTGGTTCAGATGATGGCATTTATTTTTCAGCATGGCCAAACAGTTAGTTAACCAAGCCGAGAAAATAGGGCATCAGCGTGAATGGTCTTTGCAATATAAGTAAATGCAAACGCGGATTTCTATTCAGAACAAAATGGCAGCGGACAGAGCGATGCAAATAGGTTTTGGAGTATGGGCATTTAGACCACCAATATAGACGGATGAAAGAACATTTGCCTTTCTCACTGATATATTTTCAGTCAATAATTTTTTATTTCTTTGATCAAGATGTTATAAATTATTACAAATGTATGGATAAAAAAGGACCACTGACTTCGTATCTATCCTTACTAAATATACAACATTTAATTAATGAAAAAAAGTTCAGTGTGCTTTACTTACCTTGGAAGAATAAACAGCCCTAGTATTCGGTGCATCTTTAAGCAGAGAAACATTAAATTGTCGTGGTATATTACCAACAGATGGTATCTTATAATTACCAGGTCCTTTAGTTATCAAATTTCCAGATGGTGATATTTTATAATCTTCTAGCATGTATAAACCATAACCCTGTAAATATTATTATATATAATATTTAATAACATAATCTTCTAGCATGTATAAACCATAACCCTGTAAATATTATTATATATAATATTTAATAACATAATCTTCAAACATGTATAAGCCATAATACATCATGTTTAATAACATTAACCGTAATCCTGCAAATATTATTATATATAATGTCCAATAACATAATCTTAACATGTATAAGCCATAATACATCATGTTTAATAACATTAACCGTAATCCTGTAAATATTATTACATATAATATTTAATAACATAATCTTAACATGTATAAACCATTATACGCCATTGATGTTAAACAAACGCTATTAAGGCTTATAATCCCCCAAGACATGAGATGTGTCAAAAGGGGGTTTAACGCCTAATAAAATGTATGTCTTATCAAGTCGGTCTACATTCAGAAAAGTTATAACATGATTGACTATATTTACATCCAATTTCAGATGTTCGCTTTTATTGGAAATTAATCCCATCGAGCACAGCATTTATCATTGTCTGTAAAAAAAAACTGTCTGGAAAATGCAATTTAAATCTGTGTTAAAGTCGACTACATTACTTACGATGTATGTAAAAATCGGGCAAAGATTACCGCCATTTTTTTTGTTATTAAAATGATATTATTGATCAATCGAAACCTTAAACCAGTTGTCCCAGATTTCAGAGAGAAAAGCCTAATAGCCCGAAGGACGTGTATGCAAGTTTTAGATCAAAATATTGAGCCCTTCGAAAATAATCTGTATATTGCTTAACGTGATTACATATCCCATTTAAAGAATTCCACTATTTAATTGTATGAGTTGCTATACTCGCTGCCATCGGTTATCACTATAATGTGGACAAAGATATAGACATGGTTTTCAAGGCACTAGAGAATAGTATGGAATTTGCTAAATTGATAAAGAAACCGAGACTTTAACAGTTTACTTTTGTTTTGGCCTATAATAAAGCTTTCTTAATAAAAGTACCACAGAAATTCAGACAGTGTGCAACACTAGGATAATTCTTTCTCGGAGACTTTCAGAAAAAATTAACCACCTTTCACTGTTCCTTTAAAGTTTATACGGGCCGTCAATTTTAAAATTGTTTAGACATTTTTAAAATTGAGAACGACAAGTGTGAAGAAAGAGATACCTGAACAAAGGCGCCCTCTATTTGTCCTATATCAATAGAAGGGTTTAGACTTGTACCAACATCAAATACAATATCAGTTCTCAGCACCTGAAATGAGTTAATACAATGTCTTAAAATTGTAGAGATGTTGCTCTTATAAAACCTACAAGTCGAACAAAGTGAGATTACATATTGTATACAATTTGGTCAAATATTATATGTTAAAAGGGTCTCAAGAAAATATTGTATACAACAAAAAGCTTAATTATAACTTTTCTGTTACAAGCCTTGTAATGTATGATCTCCCGTTAAAAAAATTCGATTTCTACTTCAGAACAACCAGCTCCATAAGAATGGTATAAGTTATATTAATTACATTCTTACCGCATGATCTCCCGTTAAACAGTCAATTTCTACTTCAGAACAACCAGCTCCATAAGACTGGTAGAGATATGTATTGTTGCTGTCTGTGGTTGGGTCATGACCTAAACCAGGGGATCTAAAATGGTTAAAAAAAAATGAATGTGTTCTATGTGATCTTAAATAGGTAAACATAACGTGCTCCAGGTGATCTAAAATAGGTAAAAACTATGTGATCTAGGTTATCTAAATCAGGTAAAAACAGTGTGATCTAGGTGATTCAAAATAGGTAAAACAGTGTGATCTAGGTGATTTAAAATAGGTTGTCAAAACTATGGGATCTTGGTGATCTTAATTGGGTAAAAACAATGTGATCTTAATTGGGTAAAAACATGTGATCTTAATTGGGTAAAAACAATGTGATCTTAATTGGGTAAAAACAATGTGATCTCAATTAAGTAAAATAGGTAAAACAAATGTTGTAAAATAATGTTATCTATGTGATTTAAAATAGGTAAAACAAAGTGATCTAAATTAGGTAGGTAAAAACAATGTGATCTGAATGATCTTGTTGATATAAAATAGGTAAAACAATGTGATCTGGGTAATCTAAAATAGGTAAAATCATTGCCGCATCAAAAACAATGTGATCTGGGTAATCTAAAATAGGTA